GCAACTGGAACCCTACTGTATGACAGCGCAGTATGGCCAACTGCTTTATGCGGTTGCAAGAACTGTACATTAACGAAAAAACTGTTACCAGTGCAGCAGCGCGCTATGGCAATAAGGATGCCCCGAACATCCTCCTGGGATAAGATGCGAAACTAAGGAATAAGAAGACGCGCAAGAATGCAGGATATAGCATTAGCTTTGTAGGAAAAAAAGCGGGCAGATCGCATTGTACAACTGTCGGATGACAAATCGAATTCGGCGGTGCCAGATTAGTACCCAAAAGGTTGTAAGTGCTCAATTGGAAGAATTTGACTCAGAAAGAATGATGAGCTAAAGAAAGATGTGCAGGTTCGTAGCGAAAAACCCGCACTAGACAGACAAGCGCAAGCATCAAGATTAGGAAATGGTGATTCTCGTGAATCACGAGGAAGAATCGGTGAATTGTTGTTGTTTTAAAATGAATATTTCTGCAAGTTGTTATACATGCATCCTGATTTCAGCAGGTAGACTTCGTACAAACGTGAATGCCCTATTTGCTTCCGTTTCATCCAGCGTGAACTGCGGTTAACTGACTTCATGTTTACCAGAAATGTCGAACCTTATCAAACTGGTTAAACTCTGAAGTCCAACGAAATGAATCGCTCTTCAAAATACTATCTCATAGCCAATATCGCGGAGAGCGACCAATAATCAAGATCAGTCGGTTAATATAGCAATGACAATCGGGTTCGAGAAGCTCCGAAAACCTTTCGAGCCAGTTTTGTCTAGAAGGACACTTCAACTACATACGCAGACGCATTCAACACGATTTTAAAACTCAGAGGAAGCACCAGGAAGAAGCTTGTCGGTTAAAGTAAACCAGTGATGTTAAACTTGCATTCGGCAGACTGTATGTGATGCACTATCACTTTTCATAAAAACGATATCCGCACTGCTGGCTCATTTCTGTCCTAGCGTACAATGCCTCTTCAACTTAAGACATCTTGGATCACGTGCTGAAAATCACCAACGAGCTTCCGTGACCGATAGTGCATGGTTCGGAACAGATCCCTGAAAATCCTTTTTAGGTATTATCAGACAGAAACGCGCAGAGTTTGTCCTTATGACGCGCCTTTCCATCGTTAATTCCTCTAGGAACTCAACTCTCAGCAAACCCGTGTATCGCACTTTAACAACGGTTCACTCACCCACCTGCAATCAGCAGAAAAATAAATCAATTTTCGTTCAACTTATCCAGAATGTTCGATAACATTTGAACGTTTCTTAATTTCGCCTTTCAGTATCTAAACTTCATCTTTCCTTCGCCATGACTGTCAATGCAGGATCAGCATTTCCATTGCAGTTACATTTCAGCATCGTTGTCGACGAAAAGTTAAACAGCACAAAGCAGGAAGTAGAGAAAAGTTTGCTTCATAGGAGTCGCATTGTATGCCACTGGACTTTATCTTATAAGGGGGATGAATAGGCAGCGAATGATAAAGACTTCTACTAACGGTCTGTTTCCTCAATACCTTGCATACTGCCGCCATCAAACTGCTTCTGTTGCATCTCAAGAGGTTTCACTTCTTCCATACTTTGACGCTTCCAGGCGACAAATTAACAAAATGACGAACAGCTAGCAACGCATTGATAGGACTCCCTGCACTTCATATTTGGCAACACATAACGCCGTGAGTAACGCTATAAGCTATAACAATGAAGTATTTTCTTGGTACATAGGTTATAACAGTGCAAAAACTAGTGGCTTACTGAATACAATATAGTACGAATTAAGTCTAGGTTCTAGTTGCTTCAGGAGGAACATGCCGCTGCTTCGGCTATTGTACGCAGCGAATTTCGCTATTCGATGATCGTAGAGTTATATGATACTGCTTAGTCAACTGTCAACTTTGTTTTATGTTAGAAAACTTTGGTAAAAAGGTTGATTATCCCGATAGACCGCTGACAATGATCCACTGAAGCTGATCAAAATCCTGTGGTCATCTTTCCTGCGAATTGACGGGAACAAACTTCACAATGCAATTTTCAGGAATTTCAAAAAACAATAGAAAGTTATTATCGGGTAAGAATCATAGGCAGCAAATTGTGCCGGTTCCCACAGCAGCATTACTAAACTAACGGTTGAAAATTTTCTGGAAAAACATATCGCAAATTCTGTTCACGGTCGAAATCACCTTACTTTGATTGAGAAGTATAACATGTGATGCACTGTATGAATCGATAGATAATAATCAGGCTTCGATCGCAAGCGGAAATAATAACACACAGAGAGAACATGCCAATAACAAAATCTGTCGCCGAAATATTTCAACAGGTGAAGCTTGTTTCAACGAATCCATTTAAGCGTCCATCGTAATGTCAGATAATTTTGTATATATTTTCCAGCCAACTTATTATTCTACTTCAGTTTAAGAGTGTTTTGATCATGTGAAAGTGACCATGGCTGGCAAAAATAAGCATTTTTTTTTGAAAGCAAAGTTTGTCTTCCAAACGAAGACATAGTTACTGGTTTCAAATTGAAGTTGACATATCTTCATTGCCTAAGCAAAATTTTTTTATTTATAGTTTAAATAATTCTCTAAAAATTCATGAAGTGTGCGGCCACTGTCGAGCCTGGAACAGAATCAAAATGATCTGGCATCTCATGGGTCTGGTGTAAGTCAAACATGGTGTAGCACCCCCTCCACCACTTGGATGATGAGCCTAAATTGGTATCGAATTAATGGCTCGGATTTGAAAAAGGTTCCACAGCGACTGGATTACAGTATGGGTGTAAGTGTGGTGACATTTGACCTGAAAAAAATTTCAATGTACAACGCAGCGTATCTTCAGGGCATAGGCGATACACAAGTTTATGATCAAACATCATGGTGTAGCAATGGAAGCAATGTACAGCTGATCGCGTCGTGTTCCTCTTTTCTGCTCATCTTGCTTTTTCACTCTGTCATGAGTTCACTCACTCTGTGTCATTTTTTCTAAATCTTCAGTTAGTTTCGTTCTGGACTATCGTGCTCGGGTCTCATCGGATGAAATGAGTAATTCAGGATGACGTGTCCCAGCTATATCGCATTTATGCCTTATCGAGATTCAGACACGATTAGACACGACGTCGGACCGCTTTCCATTCACTCCACGAACTCGTACCAACTAAGACTCGCCGTTCAAATGAGGAAGGACAACTCCACCAACTGTGACGTATTCTATACGTGGTTTGCCACCATAAGTTGCAGTATCTTGCAGTTACTCCGGATTCAACAGTGGTCGCATACTCTCCAATTCTGACCTGAACTGTTTAGATAACAAAAAATATTTACTTAAGGTACAGAGGGTAAGTAGGTACAAATTATCTACTTAAGGTGTATAACCCTTAATCTCAACTTAAGTTTAAATCCGTTGGAAAGTCCCTCTGAAAGACACATTTCACTCTTAAAAGTCCTGCAAGCACTTAAAAAATGAATTTAAAAGAAACTTCTTGTCACCCAAAGAAGTATCTCTACAAATCCGAATTCAAATGTACTATATAAGTTTCAGGGTATTCTTTAACCTTTGAATCATGTCGCCTGCTCTAAAAATTTCAGGAAAGTGAAAAACATTTCCTCATGTTTGTAACCAGAAGAGTGGAGCATATGCATACCAGAAAAATATTGCAGCGTTGCTCGAGGAATCTGCTGTTGTTTGAACAAAAATGCGCAGTAAAGAACGAGGTGACTCGCCAAGACCAAAACACCCTAACTAGCACAACGAACCGAACTTGACCTGTGATCACCTAACCAATTATCTGCTTCAGTGCCATGGAATAATATTCGCCGTTTCCTGTATAATTAGGATTCTGCACATTTAAGCCCGTTTTCTGTTTTTTCATTGTAGTCCTGATAGTGAACATTCCAATGTTGGTCGAAACGATTTCGCTTAAGGATTAGATTTGATTAGATTTGACGACTGTAGACATGTGCGGTTGAATCTTAGGGACACATGTGACGTCTCCTCATGGTTTCTGTTCTCTGCTTTTCTTATTTTCACTGCCAGCTGCAAGTGGAAATCAAATCATCAATACAAACACAATTACAAACTTCCTCCCTTTGACTGTGAAAGAGCCCTTGTTGACGCCAGACCTCCTAGGAGTATAGGAAGCAGTTTCGATTGTAACGACGTCGTGATGCGAACGTGTACGTGGTTACGACGACAACGCTAACAAACCGAAACTGTGTATACTGTGGCGTCGTCAAGACTAATTGCCAGCCAATGCGTTGCGCATAATGATTACGGGAATCACCGGCAACCGAATCAACAAGCAAAATTAGAGCGCGAACCCTGGGATGTTTACAACAACAGGTTAACAAGAGATTTACAATCCACAAGGGATTCGGTGCTTCCAAAGTGCTACAAACAGTTGCCAAAGACCAGGCTTTACACTATCAATTGACCTGTTGCCGACTGAAACATTCACAAGGAAAAAGCTGTGCTTGATAGCTGAGCATTGATCCTCGAAAGCCCAGTGACGACTGTCCACAGAAACCAGTGACCATCATGACAAGCCATTTGACGGTTGCGCAAAGAAGCCCACCAAAACTGCAATTTTTGCTTGCTTGATTTTAATAATTATTACCAATGAAATAGTAGACGCTTGCGATTTGACGAGAGGTCGAAAATTGCTTGCGAGATACGGCAAGGAGTTGCGAGTGGAGACGGTTGGCAATCGGCAGTCAGTCAGCGGTTTTCATGGCGACAGAGACGCGGGGACTGTCAGCGAAGGAATGTGACACAAAGTCGGGATCAAGACTAACGACGACGACGATGACGACGCGACGACGGACGACGACGAGGACAAACCAACCTGTCTTCTATCTTCAATGAAAACAGCTCCATGAAGCGCGACGCTCAAGCGAACAAACAACCGGATTGGGTGGCCGCCAGCGGAACACGGGACGCGTATCCTGCTGCGCTCATGTGACGATAACGTTGACCGAAATTGGCTAGAACCGGGCACAGCAGAGGTGGCGATGCAACGTGTCATCGAGGTCGTGGTCGGTCGTCGCGCGCGAGGTATCGTACCACGAGGCTTTGCTTGGCAAGTTCCGAACTGCGCCCCAATTTCCTCAGGCGAACGACTTCCGTTTCTGACCTGGTACCTGTGCCTATGCTCCAAAGCAACTACGACTCTCGGCGCCAAATACAAAACCTGGCACAGTGTCGAGTGTCGATTGTCGAATGTCGCGACGCACACTGTAAAATGTAGCACGAAGGTGTATCAGCGGTCTGCCAGCAACGTCAACAGGAACTACCAACGGTTGAATTAGCCTCGCCACTTTTCAGCCGTTAACCCAGGAGTAATCCATTACAATGACTCCGTCCGTAAATAAACGAGCGCGACGAAACAGTTACACTGACTGCACTTATTCGGTCGACTGAAAGCGAAAACATGGCAATAATTCTACATCTGAATTTGCACCGGTGATTACGGTGGATGTCTGAGCTGCAAAAGTCCGTTTCAATTCATTCGCCGTTCAGATTTGACAATTTCAGTGCAGTTCGTCAATCAGATGTTCATTCAAACATGTCGCGATAATTTCGATGAGTTTCATTTACAAGTCAGTTGTTGCCTTGTACGCGTTGGTTTCTTCCAATAATAAATTAGCTGTGAATATTAGTGCGCTTGCTACTTACGCATAAACAGCTTTAGGAACGATGTTGCACAATGTTCCTGTTGCAATACGTAGTCAATACTTATTTCAATGGCTTTGTACATTAGTAAAACAACCGCATCTTACGCCTGTTAAACTTCCCCATTTACCACGATGGATCGGACCTTGAAACTCTGGTATAACGAGCATGTGAAATACATGGGCTACTAAACTTTGCTAGAAAATCCTTGCCAATCATCTCGTTCAATACACAGAGACTGTGCAACATGCCGTCTCAGGCGGCTAGAGGAATCATAGCGGTTAGAGAAATCATTCACACCTGTCCTATATGAAACGGGTTTCTCGTAATCCACGGTGCCATTTATTATATGGCGAATAATCGACAGCGATAAAGAGGCATATTAATACAGAAAAATAAAACCGGATTTTATGAATGTACTAGTATACTGCTAGTCATTGATATCGTCGCTAAGATATAAAATCCTTTTCAAT